TTATGTTTATGGTACATGGTTAGGGTACAGGGTAATGGTGTAGAGTATATGATATATTGTTAGGTATAGCAAATATCACTTTTTTATCTATGTTTTGAAAATCAAAGTATGAATTTCACTTTAAATTAACTATACTAGCAAAATCACAACTCATAGGGATATATGGTTAGGGTATAGCCGTATAGGGTATGTTGTTAGTGTATAATATATTGATGGTTTAGGGTGTACGACCAACAACATATATTAACTTAATATTGCCGATTGAGAGTAAGGCTAAGTGTATATGATATATGTTATTGAGTAAATTATGATTGAAGTCACAACAGTTTTACATGGTTATTCTAAAGGAGATACTATGATCCAATTACTACTGAAATAATATTAAAATACCAAATAAATAATTAATGGTGTCTTTTGGTTGCAAATGTTGATATAACCATTACTATTAACTAGTGTACTTTACCAATTATGATTAATTACATAACAAGTTTGCAAGTCATATAAATTGATTCAACATTTTGACTAGTTTTTTTAAAATTATGTATATATACGAGGTATAAAGAAATTGGTTAAAAATTGGGGAAAATATTTTAAATTAGTGTAATAAAATGTGTAAGTTGGTAACGAGTAATGAGTAAGTTACTTGATGCGCTGACCCGAACAACCCGCAAGCCGATTCGCCCGACCCAAAACCCGATGAACCCGTAACCCGATTTGCCCGCAACCCGAACCCGATGAACCCGAACACGGCTAACCCGCAACCCGTTTGAACCCGAACCCGATAAACCCGCAACCGGTGAACCCGCAACCCATTTGAACTCGAACCCGATTGAACCCAGCCCGAACCCGCCCGATTGACACCTATAGTGGTGACGGAGTTATTATGTGTAGTTTATGATGAGTTAAAACACTTTTTAATATTGATTTTAAATTAGAAATTGTAAATCATATGATAAGTAAATATTGAAATTGATATGATTATAGATCATCACACACTCTTCAGCTAAGATATAGAGTTCAATTTCCAGAAATTTACTGTCCTTTGTTGCCACCGGCGGAGCAATCATCGACGATTTTCGCAGGTTGGCCGGACTTCTTGAGTTTTTTTCTTGCTCTCATGTTACTCGTCGAGTTAATAGAGTAACCCATTTTGTGGTAAAAACGCTCTTTCATCGGAAGTTCGACGATTAGTCGACTTCCGCCCGGTGTTAATTTTTGTACTCTAACTTTGTTTCCGGACTTTCGTCTGTTGTTGACTATGTTTAAAAAAAATATTGTCCTTTGTAGGTTATAATTATTGGTTTTGCAGTAGCAACATCTATGACAACATCAGCTTCGGAAGGCAGCTGTAGCTCTACTTCCGGCAGCCAACAGCAACAAATATCAATTGTAGCAGCTCAACCTTGCAGGCAACTACAGCAGCAGCTTCAACAGCAGTAGATCCCGTTAGTGGAAGCTCCACTCCGGCACCAACACCGCTCCGACAAAATGCCATTCCTTCACCCCTTTATGTTAAATTACTTTATACCTTCAGTTGCATGCGATTAAAACAAAGAGATAATTATTACAAAAAAAAAAGAAACAAAGAGATCAATGACTGCTTGTTGAGCTCAAATAGAGGAAGGGGAGTCACTAAAGAGAGGCAGTAAAGAGATCCGAGTACAAACATACCTCAGTTATAGGCCATGAGAAAGCTTCTGGGCAATTGAGATTGAGTTTTACAGGGGAATAGATCTCCATGGGAATGGGCGTCCATAAAAGAATCACCAAAATTGATATTGCCAGGGGAACAATTACGCTGAGATGGAGGATGGTATGGGAGATGAAGAGATTGTAACAACTATGAAGTAGTTTTCCGGCATCGATTTAAGTTAATAAGAAACAAACGAAGAGAGTTTGGGGTTGGGGAGACTTTTCCTCGTTTAAGGAAATTGCGGGAGAGGCAACAATTTTAAGATTGGAGCCCAAAATTTCAGGAGGCAAAATTCAGTATCATGAAGGCGGGAAGAATAAGCGGGGGAGCGAAATTGCTTTGCGGGAATTCTTTTGGTCTGAAAATTTTAAGGAGCCAATGTAATTTTGTAATCTTTTTGGATCCTAATTTTGTAGTTGTGTGTTTGGAAAAACAAATTTTATTAAAGTTCCATTTTTAGAACAATGAAGGAGTTGTATTGTTTTGTGATCCAAAGTCATATTTTCCAAAAACACATACTTCCTGATTTTCACCTATAAATTTGTAAATATATTGTCACACTGGTCACGGTAATAAAGCGTGACTAACAATTAATCACGGGAAATTAAGATCAAAATATGGATAAATTCATTACCGTGATTAGAACTATATAATCAATTACAGAAATTTTTACCGTGATTGTTAGCCTACTTTCTAATACGCGAAAAAATCCCGTGAATAAGATCTCGTGACTGAAAACTAGTTTTCCTGTAGTGGTATATGGTTAGGGTATAAGATATTGATGGTTTTGACGGTTCTAAGTTTTCTATTAACATATGTTCACTTGAAGTCATTTGAAGTCTTTAACGGCAGGAGATCTCTTTTTAATTTATGTTTATGATACGTGATTAGGGTACAAGGTATGTGGTGTAGAGTATAGGATATATGGTTTGGGTATAGCAATTAGCAAATATCACATTTTATCTATGTTTAGAAAATCAAAGTATGAATTTCACTTTTAAATTAACTATACTAGCAAAATCACAACTCATAAGGACATATGGTTAGGGTATAGGGTATGTGGTTAGTGTATAATGTATTGATGGTTTAGGGTATACAATCAACAACATATACTAACTTAATATTGTCGATTGAGGGTAAGGATAAATGTATAGGATATATGTTATTGAGTAAGTTATGATTGAAGTCACAATAATTTTACTAAATTTGATAGTTAATCTTTAATGGTTCAATTTTTAGGATAATTCGAACAATTTTACAAATAACTCGTTTGGCAACAGTTTATTGAAGTTATTTGGGCAATGAGTTATTTCGAAATAACTCATTTTATCACTCTGCTTTTGTTAAATACCACACGCCAAATACCAGATTTGCATGGTTATACTAAACGAGATACTTTAATCCAATTACTACTGAAATAAATACTAAAATATCAAATCAACAAATAATGGTGTCTTTTGGTTGCAAATATTGATATCACCATTACTATTAGCTAGTGTACTTTACCAATTATGATTACTTACATAACAAGTTTGCAAGTCATACAAATTGATTTAACATTTTGACTAGTTTTTTTCAAAAAAAATTAAGTATATATATACGAGGTAGAAATAAACTGGTTAAAAAGTTGAGAAAAATATTCTAAATTAGTGTAGTAAAATGTGTAAGTTGGTAACCAGTAATGAGTAAGTTACTCGATGCGCTGGCCCGAACAACCCGAAACCCGATCCGCCCGTAACCCGCCCGACCCAAAACCCGATGAACCCGCAACCCGATTTGCCCGCAACGCGATTGAACCCAAACCCGATGAACCCGCAACCCGACTAACCCGCAACCCGTTTGAACCCGAACCCGATAAACCCGCAACCCGACTAACCCACAACCCGTTTGAACTCGAACCCGACTGAACCCAGCCCGAACCCGCCCGATTGACACCTATATCAGAGGGCCCTGGCTGAAGCAGATACAGTCGGCAAAGTTCCACGGCAAGCCGATCTGCCGTATCCCTTTGCATTTACTCAAAATCTGCCCAGATTCGTGTCCGGCCTCTAGATCTCGCACCGTGCCTCAAAATTCGATTTGTGGGTCATAAATTACTTTTCAATCGATTCTCAAAGCAAATGGGATTTGTGTCCCCTCATCGTGGGTATCGTCTATATATGGGTTTCTTTTTTGTTGAGGAAGGCGTCTGGGTGGAGCTTCTTGGCCCAGAAAGAGGAATTGTTGGAGGAAGAATCTACCATTACGCATGGCATCCCTGTGTCTTGGGTCCTAGCCGCTCGGCTACAAGAATCCCGCCGCCGGTACGAGATCTGTTCATAGTCAGTGGCACGGGGTTGGTTCTGCAACTTCAAGTTTGTGGTTGCCGCTGGCGTTGAGAGTGCCTTCTGCTGAGAGGAAGAAGATGAAAGGGGATCAGTTTGTTTTTTTAATTCAATTTTGTGATCAAAGAAAAAGAAAATAAAAATTCTTTATTTGAATTTTTAATTAAAATGACACGTGACATCTATGTGTCACCAAAGGCTGAGTTGTCGCTGATCTGTGTGATGATTTGGCATACTATTCAGCCTAACGTCAATGGCTATATTTGTCATTGAACTTTCAAAATTATGGCTATTTTGTGTATTTCTCAAAAAGTGTTATTATTGTCACAAACGCCAAAGTTTTGGCTATATAGATGTATTTTGCCTTATTTTTACTGCCCATGTGGGCTTCCCTCGGCTGCTCCCTTCACTGGTTTGATACCCCGTCCTCGTGCTCCCTTCTCTAGGCAACATAACCATATGCTCGGACTCTGTCATAAACCAACTGGTACCAACAACTCGAGTTGTTGGGAGAGGTCCATGTACGATACTTAATTACTTCCTTACACGCTCTCTCAAACGAAAGCAAACTCATGAGCTTGAAATTTGCACATACCTGCCAGACCATGTACTTGAAAGACAATGATTAATATTGGGAGATCGTGAGGACTTGAACATTTGACATCAAATACTAACCAAATCTGATACCATAAAATATTTATAGAATGCAAAGAAGAAAAAACACAATACTACGGTTCGTCTCATTCGAGTGTAAATGAGCTTACTCTACTATCTCAGTTTCTTATTGTGGTTTTGGAGCCGATTACAAGCATAAATAGGGAGTTTCCTTAACCCTTGTACCACGTCAACTAGGGTTATGGAAAGGCATTGGGCTTGGAATGAGATCGGACCCATGCAGCTCGCCCAAAACGACTACGTACAACAATTTTAAAGTTCAAACTCCGGTTCAGCCCCTACCGGTTCATCTTCCTCACATCAGCCGGTTACCTCAACGCGAACCCGATCGGTGTCCCCCCCGGCTGGACCAAAGAGTGACCCGCCGAGTGCGATCTCGACTCATGGTTCCGGTTCAAAAACCGATCGAACCAGAAAACCTCCGGCGGAGCTTCTTCCGGTGGTCGCTCTTCGCTCCTCCTGCAACCCCCATCGGCCGGTTCCGAGAGAGTGCCGCCGTCCACTCGTCCTGCCTCAAGATCAGACGCCGAGGCAGGAGCAATGGTCTCCGGTTCGACCGCGGTCGAGCCGTCGCGTGGGGCGAAACTGGCCCGGCAGACCGGGCAGGTGGCGTGGGATTCGAGCCAGGCGTCGATGCACTCCGGGTGGAAGACGTGGTCGCACTTGGGAATGAAACGCAGCGTTTCGCCGTCGTGGAATTCGCTTAGGCAGACGGCGCACTCCGGCGCTGCCTTCCCGATCTTCAACCCCTTGACCGCGGAGTAGACCATCGTGGGGAACGTCTCAATGACAGCTGGGTCGAGTCCTCGGGAGGCGGCAGTGGCTGCGCGGCGGATGCTGCTGCCGGAAGCGGCGGCGGATTGGGACACGGAGCAGTGGCGGATGTAGATGGGGAAGAAGCCCAAGAGGAAGAGGACGGCGATGATGACGGCCATGGTAGGGGTGACCCGGTCGTGATCGGGGAGTTCTCCGGACGGCGGCTGCGCCGCCGTAAGTCGGAGGAGGAAGAAGATGGAGGGAACCATTTTATGGGCCGGGTTTTCTTTCTTGTGGGAAAATGCGGAAGCTTTAGAAGGTCGAAGGCTAAGTGTGGGAAATGGAGAGGAAAATGGTGATTTAATTTTCAGGTGAAGAAGTATAGGGGATCACTATTCTCTGTCATTTGATACCTTATTGCTAGAATCTAGTCAAGGCGTGAAAAACAATCCCTTTTTGGAGACAACGAATTTATCGATTATGAAAGAAACCCTCTAATCCCATCACGAACATCGGCGACGTCAAGGTCGGGACTCCGGTTTGAAGGCTAAGTAATGACTAATGATAAAAGAAGAGAAGAACACAGCCAGAATAAGGGTCAAATTGTCGTCGTGATATTCATATTATCGTACGGACGGAGTGGTGCATGGATGCTTGCCTATAGCTACAGAGAAAGTATTTTCTATTGTTATATATCTCTACCGGCATTTGGCCCGGCCCGTTGGCCGGTATTCTATGCAATTTGGACGTATTTTCTATTTTTTTTGGGTTATAGGTATAATATGCCCTTTTACTATGACGTTTTATCAAACATGTCCCTCTACTGTTTTTTACATCAAATATGCCCCTGTACTTTGAAAACATTATCGAACATGCCATTATGTTAATTTCCAATGAAAAATAGTCAATCATGGTTGAACCGAGATTTAGACGACCCGATATCGACAAATGGGAGCGATGATGTTAGTTTTGTCTTTCGTTTTATTTTTCTGGGTCTCTTCAAAGTGAAATTATTTGGCTATACAAAAGAACAAAAAAAATTCTAAAGTGAAATTATTAGGGATATTTTAGACATTTGTGCGGCCCAGACCAAAATTCGATCTTGGTTAATGGTTTTTGGATGAAAATTTAAACCAAGGGCATGTTTGATCATTTTTACAAAGTACATGGGCATGTTTGATGTAAAAAATAGTAGAAGGGCATGTTTGATAAAACGTCATAGTAGAGGGGCATATTATACTTTTTTTTATAATGAAATACTATCAAAATGACATTATATTGCAAGCAAACTCGAAGTTCCAATAACATAATTAATACAATGAAAAATATAGGATATAGAAACTTTCAAACACAATACATCTCAGCAAAAGTATATAATGTAGGATTAAATATGTAATGATTATTTTATTTATTTATGCTTTAATAAAAGACCAAGTTGTTTTGCAAGCATTTAGCCCAACCCTTTGGCCAATTACTTTACCTGTTGCTATAATTATGACTAGTTTTCATTGCCCGCGCTTTGCGCCGGGACTTGAACAAAAAAGAGAATATTTATTTGCACACACACGTACTACATACATAACATTTTTGAACACTGAGCGAATGTTTACATATCTCAATGAATATTTTCATTTTAAATCTATGTAATAACCATTGATGGTGTATTATAAGAACATTACAGCAGAGAAGATTTGTCTATGGCTACAAAAAATTGGGTTGTTATCTCACTTGCTTCCCTGGATCGGTTTATCCCAATGTCATAAGAGAAATCATAGAACAAATATATAGAATTCCTCTTGTTGCTGCATTGCTTTTTGGTGTTCCTCATTTGATTCAAGTATTGGAAGAGCATTCCTTCAAACATGGAAGCAAGAGAAATTGCGTCAAAAATAACATAATGGCTCCAGAGGAAATTGTATAACAAAATGTCAAAATGCAGAAAGTTATGATTGAGCATTGAGTTGAGATTTCTTTGAATAACATGTTTTATTCATTGAATCGCGCACATTTTATTAATTTATATAAACATAGCATTGTGTCCAACTTCTTTTTCAATATGGAAAAACAGAACCTGGGCATACTATAGAAGTTCAAAAAGCAAAATACGCCAAAACTGTATTGTTGCTCACTTAATCTTTGAAGAAACTCCTTCATGATATCAAGTGCGCAATTAACAGACATGCATAACATGGGTAGATTTATGAGCAGCACAATGTCAATTTCAAAACTAACAATGAGGTCATTTCAAGGGCTTGAGAGAATGCAGACAACTCAAGTGGAAAACACCACTTTTAATGTACTAATCAAACAGCATAAATAGAAGAAATAACCACATTGCAAACCATGAGCAGATCATGAATGGAACAGGAGTTTCACCATGTTCGTAGAAACCTGACTCCAGACAACAACACTTGCCAGCAATATAGAGACATGCAAGACAGAGGATGATAAAATATTAGTGATGATGCTAAAATAGTTGAAAACAACGACAACACTGAAGGATGCACAGAACCCCATTCAGACACCATGAAAGGAGCAAAGTGCTTGACTACTTAATTCATCAACCAAGTATGGAGAAACCTAATACCCACGCTTGGCCGGTCACAGGGTTCACAAACAAAATTCCTTAAAGCATCCATCCATGATACACAACCAGTCTATCAAAAAAGTGCAAAAGGATATATGAGCAAACCATAAACTAACCATTAAATTAACTCAGTAAGAATGCTAGCACAACAACCTGCCTATCAAAGAAGCTCAAAAGAATATATGAGCAAACCATAGAACCACTAATTAACCATGGGAAGGAAGTATGCATTTCCTTTCAATGGGAGCACAACAGAAGTATGCATAGTTGGCTTCGACTGATTCTGATCATAACTCCCAGCTTCCCAACTTCAATCTTTGGTAGAAGAGAAAGTAACCTAAGACCACCGAAAGGAACAACACAATCAAGATAGATTACAGAATCAACACCCAGAAGAGAATCCTCTTCAAGAATGATATATCCATGTATAGCTCATCAAGTACTTCATACAATTCAAGAACTCAGTTTCAGAAATGGCAATGAGTAGAGTGTCAATCAAGAGAAAATGAATATATGAGGTAACTAAAAAAAATACTATAAGCTGTCCGAAATGAACTTTAGCCACAAAATGGATAAATGAATTGAGCAATCAGGAACCATGCCAGGAAAATTTATAAATAACAAAGAACTAATAATGACTTAAATACATTAGTAAATCTTATGAACGAACTGCATTCGTCCAAGAACAAAGGTAAGGGTTGAAAATGTAAGAAACAATGGGAAAAGAATGGGAAAATACTACGTACCTGTCCTTCGGATCTTACAACGGGTGACCAGGTGCTATCCTGAATTTACCAAGCCTTAGCAAGTAAAATGAAAGCATAAGTTTTGAAAGAAATTGAACCCATCAGTCTCCTGGTCACACGGGACTTCCGTTACAACAACTATCCCCAACAAAATATTCATCATCTATCGCTGTAAGTTTGACCGCACGAATCTGAGCGGAATCTGATGAATAATTGTCACGCAAAGATCAGAGCATGCCACCTCTTGCCAAAATAGACACTGAACAAATCCAATTCAGGGGAATAGAAAGGAACTCATTCGAGAAAAGGAAAAGCAAACAAATTCATCGAGACATGCAATCACGTCGAGATCGGTATGAAATAAAAGCCATCTGAAAGACAAAATGACCAAACAGTTATCGAGGGGCGCGAGAACACTTCACCAGATAGAGAGAATGTGAAAAACACACGAACCCAATGAGAACCCCACAAAATCCTCTACAGGCCTCTCAAATAAGGGAATCTGAAGGAAACACAGAAGAGAGAAAAAGAAGTATGAGGAGCTTACTATTTGATTTCTTCTGGTGAACTATTGACGAAAATCTAGCAACAGGTTGGCGCTTCTAAGCCCTTCATCTGCACCTGCTGCGCATACAGAGAGAGAAATAAGAAGTCAAGAAGAAGAAGAAGAAGAGTGAGATACTCACAACAAAAGGATGAAAATAAATGACCGAGAATACTCACTGCAATGCGAAGAAGGCCAGGAAAACGGGAGTAACCCTGCATCCAAACACCACCTAGAATCAAAAGAGAGCAGGCGGATCGGGACGATGAATGGGACTGAAAAAGAGGAAAACAAACTCTACAGAGAGAGAAGGAATGAAGGATAGATCACCTGAAATAAAAGATATAACCGGCGGGTCTCGATCTTTTTCGGATCCTCGCCGGACCTCCAATATCCGCGTCCCATCACTTTCAAATCCAACCATTGCCCAAGAAGAGAGATGAGAAGAACAACGCAGAGAGAAAGAGAGAGAGAGAGAGAGAGAGAGAAGCCGAGAAGAGAGTGGAATGACAATGGGGGAGAAAGTAAAGGATAAAGAATCATCTCTACAGACTCTCTCCCTTCAGTGAATTGGAGCATTCTCGATTTGACCATTCTCCCAGCAGTCGGTGGTGGGTTTCCCAAGCACAGCCTCACTCGTCAGTCCCCAACAACAAAGACAGCGACGTGGCCTTGCTTACAACCAAGCCATTTGCACTGACGTGGAACCCTTCAACAACCGCAAAAAAACCCGGCCAATCAGAGTCCTTGGAAACCTCGAATAACGGGAAAAGTACCCCACTCCACTCCACTCACCCTCCCCCTATATCACAAGACCCACATAGGAACCGAATGACAAATAGAGTTTCATGTCCCAGTAATCGATGGCGAAAATTTCTGCCGAGCGATCTACTCGGGTAAGGGCCCCAGGCCCCCAACCAGAGGGCAGACTAATGTCCAACCGCAACCAAACCATGGGAATCTCGTCCAGATCCAAAGAGAGTCCACCTGCAGCCGCCCACACAGAAACTCAATCCAAGTTGCAACAGTACATATGAGTCTGTATGTACAGTAAAAGGTTTCTGCATGTACAGTAAATGGGCATTAGTGGGTTTTCTTCTTTCAATGTATTGCGATCGACATGACAGCAGGGACTTCTTTGCTTCAAAATCGACAATTAATTTGAATATCTCTTTATTTGAGATATAGATATTAGTTTAGATGAATAAAGTTATTGAGGTTTCTATCCCTTCAACTCTCTATTCACATAACATAATATCATATCTACCCTCCTAACTAAGAAACTAAATCAACAAAAAATGC